CAGAAATTGCTGGAAAAGCTCAGCAGGTCTGGCAGCTTCTGTGGAAAGACATCAGAGTTAACGTTTCAGATGGAACCCCTGAGTTCTGAGGAGGAGTCACTGAACCCGAAATGTTATCTCTGCTTTCCCTCCACGTATGTGGAGGTGCCAGTGTCCGACTGGGGGTAGACAATTCAGAAGTCACACGACACCAGGTTACAGCCTAACAGGGTTATTTGAAACCGCAAGCTTTCAAAGCACCGCTCTTTCATCAGGTGAAAGACAAAGGAGCGGCGCCCCGAAAGCTTGATTTCAAATAAAGCTGTCAGACTGCAACCTGGTGTCGTGCGACTTCCAACTTCCCCTCCACAGATGCTGCCAGACCTGCTGAGCTTTTCCAGCAATTTCTGTTTTTGTTTATGATCTTTAGGGGTTTTGACAGGGTGGATGTGGCAGACCACTTAAAGGAGAATCTAGAACCAGAGGTCGCTTTTGAACGATCAGGGGTTGCCTACTGAACCGATGAGGCAAAATGTTTCTGCCTTGGTAGACCATGTCTGTTTGGAAAGCCCTTGCCGTGAAAGGTTGTGGGAGCAGTGTCCGTGAATATTTTCAAGCAGAGGTGGATAGATTCTTGTCAAGTTGCCTGAGTAATTGGTATCACTCACAAGCATTCACGTGTTGCATCACCAATGCTAAGTAGCAGCATTGTGTTCCGTGTACAGGATGCACTGCAGAAATTCACCAGGCCTCCTTAAGCAGCAGCAGCTTCCAAATCCACAACTGCTACCGCCTAGCTTGTTGCCAAGGCAATGCTGGGATCTTTCTCCACCACACAGTCTGTGCACAGCCTACCGTACATAGGAACACCAAGTTCCCCTCCAAGTCACTCACACTCCTGACTCGGAACTATATCGTCGTGTCTTAATTTTCACTGGCTGTAAGTTCCGTGTTCCCTAACTGCATTGTGGGTGTGCCTATACCAAATGGACTGCAGTGTTTCAAGAACGCAGCTCACCACTACCTTCTCAAAGGCAGCAAGAGATGGGCAAAAGCCTAGCCAGAGAGGTCCACATCCTGTGAATAAATTTAAAAACAAAGGGTGGAAGGTTATCTGGAATAGGCCTGAATGCCAATTTTAGGAATATGAACATATCAGCCATGATCTTATTGAATGGCAGATTAGGCTCAAGGGGCTGAATGGCCTACTGCTGCCCCTAATTTGTATGTTCACACATACCTCCTTTTTGAGATGTTCTTTCTCCTGGTTTATTTCCTCTTGCTATCACCTGAAGTTTTACTGGGAGGAGCAGAAGGTTTACAGACCATTTGAGGAAACATTTTCCCTTCTAGAGGATTGTGGATATCTCAAATTCACTGTCTAAAAGGGAAGTAGAGGGAACCTTAAGACATTTAACAACTACTCAGATGGGCATATCATAGAATACAAGGCTTTAGCCCATGTGTGGGAAAATGGGTTTAGAATGGGTTCTCTGATGACCAGCACAGACATAATGGGCTGAAGAGCCTCTTTCTGTACTGTTAAAATAAACCGTGACACTATGACATTATTGTCTATTTTTTTGGGAACATAAACTCCTGGTTTGTTTTGCAAAGCAAAAGTTTTAGAGCCTGCTGTCTGACATGCAGACTGTGGTCAGTGACTGAGAGTTGGATTGTTTGCAAGGTCTATGACAGAGTATCATGACGTGGCTTGTTTTCCAAGAATGAGCAGACTGATTGCCTCGACAATTACAAATTGCTAAACCTGATGCAATATAAAACGTTGCACAATGGCATGTGGTGGTTAGGATAGCTTGTGTAAAATTCAATTACCTAAATATTACTAGACTTGTAGAATGAATTCCGTGCTCTTCCGGCGGTTTTGCAAAACCAAAACTCCTTATTGCCTACTGTGTTCCTGGCTTTTGTGATTGAGACTGAAAATCTTAAGGATTCAAAGATTTAGCAATCTGTCTCTGACCTTCACACAAGTAGTTAGTACAATAAAACATAGAACTGTGGATGCTGGAAATCTGAAACAAAAATGGAAAGTGCTGTAGAAACTCAGCAATTTCTGTAAAGAGAAAAGCAGAGTTCACAATTTGAGTCCAGTGATCCTTCATCAGGTTAGTAGTTTGATCAGTAGTTCAGTTATCACAGGTCTATCTGGGAATGAGTAGAGCTTTCCATTTTCAATGTCAAACATGCTGTCAAGGCCATTTTTAGTTCTTTTTTTGATGATGTGAGACTTTGTTGTTAACAGCCTTGCTTTCTTTTTCAATGTGTGTGGTTCTATACCCTTGCCTGTCTTGCCACTTAAACAATGTAATATATTGGTGTCAGAACACTGTAAATTTGCACGTGAACCAGTAAATTTCATGTATCATCATTTTGTGCCTCTATAGCCCACAAAAAAGCGGTCCAGATGATTTATCCAACTTCAGACCTTTCAGTTTCCCCTGCACCTTCTCCTTCACAATGGCCACTACACTCACTTCAGCCCTGGTGTCTTCCACTGTGAAAACTGATGCAAAGTATCTGTTCAGTTCCTCCGACATATCTTTGTTTCCCCATTACTAATTCTCCAGCCTCAAGTTCCAGTGGTCCAATGTCCACTCCTGCCTCTTTCTTATCTTTTAGATATCTTAAAAAAAATTCTTGCAGTCTTCTTTTATACTACTAACTAGCTTACCCTCATATTTCATCTTCTCCACCCTTTTTGCATTTTTTAAAAGTTATCCTCTGCTGGTTTTTAAAGACTTTCCAATCCTCTGACATCGCACTAATCTTCACCACATTGTATGCTTTTTCTTTGGGTTTTTTGCTGTCCCTGACTTTCCTTGTCAGCCATGGTTACCTCATCCTCCCTTTAGTACAATTCTTCTTCCATGGTTGTTACAGTTGTCCCCTTATCTGCCGTGCTTGAAGTTAGATTCCTAATCCTTTCCATACTCTGTCCTAGCACTTGTTCAGAGGGTCACAACAGGTCCTGAACCGAAGTGTTGTCAGCCTGCTTATCTGACACACAGTCTCGGGTGAGCTGCTGGTTTGCTTCAACTAAGTTACCTACACTTTCCTTTGAATTGGAGGGTTGCAGTCATCATGAAACTGCAGAAAAAGAGAGCAGGAGAAACCGTCTAAGAGGATGCCTAAAGGTACTGCTTTAATGCACGACTGAGGGAATTGGATAGGATGTTGAGCCATTGCCCAGCCTGCCCCCTGAAGTGGGCCACAAGATATCATAGAACCCGTACAATGTGGAAACAGGCCATTTGGCCCACTGAGTCCACACTGCCCCTCTGAAGAGCATCCCACCCAGACCCAACCCCTGCCCCCCAACTGTATCCCTCTAACCCTGCATTTCCCACCACTAATCCACCTAGCCTACACATCCCTGGACACTATGGGCAAATTAGCATGGCCAATCCACCCTAACCTGCACATCTTTGGACTGTGGGAGGAAACGCTTACAGACACGGGGAGAATGTGCAGAATCCACACAGACAATTGCCTGAGGGTGGAATCGAGCTCGGGTCCCTGGCGCTGTGAGGCACTGTGCCAGCCTTGTGTACCGTGATTGCTAAAATGCTGTGTGTCTTCAGTACCTTGAAACATGGGTCCCTCCGCAAAGTTGTTTTTGTCTGAACAAATTCCGTTTTTGTGTTTTAACAGGGATCATCCGACTGTGATTAAACGGCGATTCACAAGTGTCCTGATTGTCTCGATGCTGTCTCCATTGTGGGTCTGGGCATGGCGGCAGTACACAGGTTTCAAGGTACGTCAGCCCTCTCATTGCCCTCAGGGTGCAGCATACCATGAGTGACTAGTAACCAAAATCCTGTTGAGATCTTTTGGCGCCACCAGTTCTGGCCTTTTGATCATTGCTGATTTCCATCCTAGAGTCACAGAGTTGTACAGCATGGAAACAGATCCTTCGGTCCAACTTGTCCATACTGACTCGATATCCTAAGTTAATCTAGTCCCATTTGCCAGCATTTCACTTCACCATAGCAGTTGTGACTTCAGCTGCCTGGATTCTAAGCTCTGGAACCCTCTCATGAAATTTCTCTGCTACTCTCTTTCTGTCTTTTTTGCTCTCATATAACTCCTCTACCAAGCCTCTGAGTAGGCTCCTCCAACGTCTACTTAATTGTCTTTGATAATGTTTCCACTAAATGATTTGGGACTTCATCCTATGTTAATTACGCCATATAAATGCATGTAGTTGTTGATAATGTTTAATTGTCCATTTAAGTAAAGCATCTTGCCATATTTGAAACACAAGGCACAGTGGCTCCAAAACAGACGTCAGACTGTTGAAGTTGGATTGCTGATTTTTAGTTTGCAGTTGGTGTTACTCAGGAACAACGATGGGAGATCTTCACTATTCCTACTCTCATGAAGAACGTGAATCGGGGAATCAAGTCAGGAGACTATGGGGCAGTTTAGCACGGCCACTCCACCCTAACCTGCACATCTTTGAACTGTGTGAGGAAACTGGAGCACCTGGAGGGAACCCACGCAGACAGGGGGGGAATGTGCAAACTCCACACAGACAGTCGTCCGAGGCTGGAATTGAACCCTGGGACTGTGAAACAGCAGTGCTAACCACTGAGCCACCATGCCGCTCCTATTTGGATTTTAAGAAGTCACTTAATGGGGTATTGATGTTTTTTTAAGATGACACCTAGTGCTCTGCAGCCTTTGTGCTATAACACTAGCTTTGTCCTGCCAGGTGCAATGCCAAATGTTTGTCTGATATTTCAGTTCTGCGGGTTGGCACCCTAAATGCGCGTGAATAAATGCTCTTTCTTTTTACTATTGTGCATTCTCTCAAAATTGTACTTTATTCACGGAATCACAGGGTTGTAATTTTGCAGAAGGAGGCCATTCGGCCCACTGTGTCTGTATTGGCTGTCTGTGTTTTAACTTGGTGCCGTTTTCACACACATTGTTTCTACTTAAACAATCATCCACTTCCCTTGATTGAACCTTACCTCCACCACACTTCCAGGCAGATCATTCCATTCAACAGCTGCTTGCTGTGTGAAAAGGTTTTTTTCACATTTCACACATGTTTCTTTTGCAAAACATTTTAAAACTCTGTTCTCTGTTTCTCGATCCCTTTGCGACCATGAGCAGTTACTTCCTGTTCATTCTGTCCAGACCCTTTACGGTTTTGGAAACTTTAATCAAATCTTCTCTCCAAGGAAAACAGTCCCAACTTTTCCAATCTTTCCTCACAATTGAAGTGTCTCCTCCCTGGAACCATTCTCCTAGACCTCTTCTGCAATTTCTCCAATGCATTAGCATCCTTCCCATAATGTGATGCCTGGTTGCAATATTTCAGCTGAGGTCTGACCAGTGACAGATAAGTTTTTCATAACTTCCCTGTTCTTGAATTTTGTGTCTCTGTTTCCAAAGCTGAGAATACTGTTTGCACAATTAACAACTGTCTTTACCTTTCCTGCCACCTTTAATGATTTGTGTACATACACACTCGGGTCTGTCTGCTCCTGCACATCCTTTAGAATAGTGACCTTTACTTTATATTGTCTTTCTGCATGTTCTTTGAACCAAAGTGTATCAACTCGCACTTGTCTGTATTGAATTTCATCTGCTCACTCCTCCAAAGCCCTTTTGAAGTTCTATATTACCCTTCTCACAGTTTACAATGCTCCCAAGTTTGGCTTCACCTGCAAGCTTTGAAAACACGCCAAGTTCTAGAATAGTTTACAAAAACATCAGGAATTCCACCGCAATCTTTCTCCCAGCCCCCAAAATACCCTTTAACCATTATTTTCTGTTACCTGTCCCTTAGCCAATTTTGTTTCCCAAGTTGCAGCTGTTCCCTTTAGTCCATGATCTATGACTTTCCTCTCAATCCAGACAATCAAACCAGTTTGAACGGCTGGTTCTCAATGGCCAGGAAGCAGGCCTCGTCTACTTTATTGCAATTCTAATGACACCATGGTACTGAGAGGACTGGGGTGCTGTTTGGGCACTGCTGGTTTTGAACACCAGGTTACTGAATAACGTAGCGCTTGTTGACATCGCAGCGCTTCTCACACACAGCAGAAAAGACCAGAGGATCTGACTGGTTGCATGTTTTGATTAGACAGGTCCGTCGCTGCTGATGCTAATGGGGGTCCATTTGGAGGGGATCTTTGCTGCTGCCTGCCTTCCACTCTTACTGACCATGGTGAGTGAACAAACGCTGTAGGTAAATTCTGAATGGTACTGTGGGGATGCAGGTTGGTAGACGATTCTGCACCATTAGAAGCTGAAGCAGTTCTTTTTATTTACTTACGCACAGAAGGTTTGTTAAAGTTATGTAGAATTTCGATTAGATCAGACTCAAGTACTAAATACAGCCCCTCGTCTCCTTATTATATTAAGGATACGGAGGCATTGGAAGGTGCAACAAAGACTCTCATAGGTAATGACTAGAACTGAAGTTGTCAGTAAAGACTAAATAGTCTGGTACACCTTCCTCAAGAAAAGAGAAGGCCGATGGCTAACCTGATAAAAATCTTTAATGCTTGGTCACGGTTTTTGATAGGGTACCCGTAGAGAAAATGTTCACCCTTCTGAAAGGTATTGTGAAATAGATCAACAATAAGGACATTGAGAGCAAAAAGTCCCATTTTCCAACCAAATCATAGAGTTGTGCAGAACGGAAACAGACCCTTCGGTCAAACTCATCCATGCTGACCATATATCCTAAACTGATCTAGTCTCATTTGCCAGCATTTGGCCCATATCCCTCTAAACCTTTCCTATTCACGTACCCGTCCAGATGCCTTTTAAATATTGTAATTGTACCAGCCTCCACCACTTCCTCTGGCAGCTCATTCCATACATGCATCACCATCTGCTTGAAAAAGTTGCTCCTTAGGTCCCTTTTAAATCTTTCCCCTCTCACCTTAAACCTGTGCCCCTCTACTTTTGGATTCCCCTACCCCGGGGAAAAGATCTTGACCATTCACCCTATCCATGCCCTTCATGATTTTATAAACCTCAATAAGGTCATCCTCAGCCTTCGATGCTCCAGGGGTAAATAACCCCAGCCTATTCAGCCTTCCCCTATAGCTCAAACCCATCAACATCCTTGTAGTATTGTCTGAACCCTTTCAAGTTTAACAACATCCTTCCTATAGCCGGGAGACCAGAATTGAATGCAGTATTCTAAAAGTGGCCTCACCAATGTCCTGTACAGCCGCAACATTGCATCCCAACTCTTATACTCAGATCATTGATCAATGAAAGCAAGAATGCCAAACGCCTTCTTCACTACCAAGGTCTCTCTGTTCAGTAACACTCCCCAGGACATTATCATTAAGTGTATAAGTCCTGCCCTGGTTTGCCTTACCAAAATGGACGCCTTGCATTTATCTGAAGTAAACTTCACTTGCCTCTCCTCGGCCCATTGTCGCATCCGATCAAGCTCCCATTGTACTCTGAGATAACCTTCTTCGCTGTCCACTATATCACCAATTTTGGTGTTATCTGCAAATTTACTAACCATACCTCCTATGTTCACATCCAAATCATTTATATAAATGACAAAAAGCAGTGGACCCATCGATGGTTCCTTGCGGCACATCACTGGTCACAGGCCTCTAGACTGAAAAACAACATTCTACCTCTACCCTCTGTCTCCTACCATCAAGCCAATTTTGTATCCAGTTGGCTAGCTCCCCCTGGATTCCATGTGATCTAAACTGGTTGAATGCCTTGCTGAAGTCCGTATTGTTGAATGGCAACACAGAATTCCTCCTAGGGAATGATAAGACATTTGCTAGCATGCTTTAACATCTTGCTACATCATCTTGCCTCATTTTGATATACAATTTCCCATTCTCCCACCTGCCAGACAGAAACTAGACAACAGCAATTCCCAGCATGAAAGTCTGTGCGGGTACCTGGTGATTCCAGCTTTCCACTTGCTCTTCTGGCCCGCCATCTTGGATATCAGGTACCAGCATCTCAGGGCATGCTCCATGGGCAGTGACTGTATACCCCTCTGTGTTCAACCAGCACCTCCAGGTCCCTGTTGACAAAGTGAGCTGCTAGTTTCCTTCTGCCCGACACGTCTGGGACAATTGACAGGAACTGTACAGGGCAGTTGCACGCTGCCAGTGCTTGTCTGGGTGCTGGGCTGGGTTTTGAAGGTAGCGGCAGTGGCTGGTCCTTCTGTACTTCTGGCTGTGGCAAGCCGGAGAATATGACAAATAGGCATGTGGAAGATAAACATGCCAAGGCTGGCTGAGAGACACCCTTATGAAGCTCACCAACGTTGACACTTAGCCGATTTCTGGTAACATTCAGCCCTATTTCTGTGTGTCGGGCAGGTACTGTTCTTTGGGCCACTGATACAGCTGGTCATGGACTATCCGTGGGATTTCATTGAAGGAATGAAGATGACGCTAGGTAAGCCTGTGCTTTTAGTGCCTAGATAAGGTAGAATTGCAGGAGCTTAATAATAGTGAATCTGGCTTAAAACATGATAACTCATGTTCTGTGGGATTTTCATCTTCAAACAGTCCAGCATTTTGTCCCCTTCCTCTCATTATGTATGAGGTGCTGCAGCCCTGTAGAGTCGTAGGGCATGGAAACAGACCCTTCAGTCCAACCAGCCCCAAACTAAACCAGTCCCATCTGCCTGCTCCTGTCCCATATCCCTCCAAACATTTCTTATTCATCTACTTACTTAAATGTCTTTTATCATTGTAACTGTACCCGCATCCACCACTTCCTCTGGAAGTTCTTTCCACACATGAACCACTCTCTGTGTAAAAAGAATTGCCCCTCATGACTGTTAAAATTTTCTCTTCTCACCTTAAAAATACACCCCCTAGTCTTGAAACATGCCCACCCTAGGGAAAAGTCACCTGCCATTCACCTTATCTATACCCCTCATCACATTATAAACCTCTGTAAGGTCACCCCTCAACCTCCTACTCTCCAGTGAAAAATTTTGCAGTCTATCCAGCCTCTCCTTATAACTCAAACCCTCCATTCCCTGCAACATCCTGGTAAATCTGTTTTGAACCCTCTCCAGCTTAAGAATATTCTTCCTATGACAAGGAGACCAGAACTGGACACAGTACTCCAGAAGAGGCCTCGCCCACGTCCTCTACAACCTCAACATAATGTCCTAACTCCTAAACTCAAAGGTCTGAGCAATAAATGCCTTCTTAACCACCCTGTCTGCGTGTGATACAAACTTCAAAAAATTATGTACCTGAACCGATAGGTCTCTCTGTTCGACAATACTACCCAAGGCCCTACTTTTAATTTTGTAAGTCGTGCCCTTGTTTGTTTTATGCAATATCTTGCCTTCATCCAAATTTAAACTCCATCTAACTGTTCTATAGTTGGGTTCAAATGCAAACTATTTTGACCACTCAAAAGATGCATTGACAGGAACCAGAGCGTGAAATAGCCTTTTGTTTCCTTGCTGGGGGGTGGCTAAGACAACCAAGATGTGCCTATAGTGTCCATCAAGGACAGACTATTCCATTGTTTAGGAACTTGGTGCACAGTGACAACATACTGTTTGCACAATGCGCTGGGGCAACTCAGCAAGGCCCCTTCAATGCTACCCGCTAAACCTGTATTGTCTTATCACCTTGAAAGACAAGGGCAGCAGATCAATGAGAAGACCATAGAGTCATAGTGGTTCACAGGATCTTCAGCCCAACTTGTCTATGCTGCCCAGTTTTCACCAGTTGCAAGTCCCCCTCTAAGTCTCGCACCTTCCTGAACTTGGAAACATAGAGTCATACAGCACGGAAACAACCCTTCGTTCCAACCAGTCCATGCTGAACATAATTCCAAACTAAACCAGTCCCACCTACCCTCTCCTGGCCCATATCCGTCCAAACTTTTTCCTATTCATGTACTTATCCAAATGTCTTTTAAGCTTTGCAATTGTATCCATATCTACCACTTTCTCAGGAAGTTCATTCCACACGCGAACCACCCTCTCTGTAAACAAAATTTTCCCCTTATGTCTTTTTTAAATCTCTCTCCTCTCACTGTAAAAATGTGTTCCCTAGTCTTGAAATCCCCCATCCTAGGGAAAAGACACCTACTTTTAACCCTATCTATACCCCTTATGATTTTATAAACCTGTATAAGGTCACCTGTCAACCTCTTACGCTCCAGTGAAAAAAAGTCCCAGCCTTTCTTATTAACTCAAACCTTCCATACCCAGCAACATCTTGGTAAATCTCTTCTGAACCCTGTCCAGTTTAATCATATCCTTCTGATAAGAGGGAGACCAGGACTGGACACAGTACTCCAGACAAGACCTCACCAATGTCCTGTACGATCTCAGCATAATGTCCAACCCCTATACTCAAAGGACTGAGCAATGAAGGCAAGCATGCTAAACGCCTTCTTAACTGCCCTGTCTATATGTGACACAAACTTCAAAGACTTATGTACCTGCACCCTAGGTCCCTCTGTTCTGTAACACTACTGTTGGACTCTGCTTCACTATCACTCATTAAAACCTCAGAACTCCTTACCTAATAGTATTGTGAGATTTCTTCACTACACAGTTTGCACCATCCCAGAAGGCAGCCCTCAATCTCTGCTCACAGGTCAGTTAAACGCTAATACGTCCCCTGAATGAATTTTTAAAAAGATGTCCTTGTCTAATGCTTTGTGGATCTTGCCCGTTCAGCGAATAGTCAAGTGGAAAATCCTGATAAGGGAAGTATGTTCGTCTGTCTCTGACAATTTAACATGTTTCTGCTGTCGGTGTTCACTGTGAGAGATTAGGCTCTGGTAATCGACAATCGTGTTGTCTCTTTCCTAGATCCACAGTTCTGGGTGCAGTGCATGGCAGACATGCGTTGGATGAGGAATCAGGTGGTGGCTCCCCTGACGGAAGAGCTGGTGTTTCGGGCGTGTATGCTACCAATGCTAGTACCTTGCACTGGCCTTAGCCGCGCCATTGTCACCTGCCCGCTTTTCTTTGGAGTTGGTGAGTGGGTTTGACCGGGTGAGTGCGATGTTACCTTCAAGGGAGTGGGGGGGGTGGGAGGAGTTTGGGAATGTGTGAGGGGCGGCCCTCTGCCCTTGGAAGATTTCTGAAGTGACACGCTTACTAGTTTTTGGCTCAGGGTTCAATTCTGAAAGGAACCACAGTTTGCTCTTACCCTGGTGCCCTTTAGTTTGTGGCTGGAGGGCATTCAACATTGATTAACAACTGTATCAGAACAGTCCTGCCTCACTTTCTTCATGTCAATCATTCTTAGCAGGTTATGTTTTGAAACAAATGGTCTGATTTTGCAGAGAACTGCTAGTATATGAGCTATTCTGCCACAAGACGCAGATGAGGTAGAGACGGTTGTATCCCTTCAAATGAAACTTCAAAAGAAGTGAGCAAATATCTGAACGTAGATGATCAAGGCAGTGGGTAGAAATTGATGCAACATTTATGTCTGTTACTTGGAGATGGCTACGCAATAAGTTAGGTGTACAACCTTAGGCCAGCACTTCATGTGACTTGTTGTGTCACTGAACAAGTAAACATCTCATTATTTAGAAAATACTGACTTACATTTGTATAGCACCTTTAACATAGTGAAACATTCTAATGTACTTCACAGGAACGCAAACAGCAAAGCTTAACCAAGCCAAAGAATAGGCTTGATTCTTAAAATGTATAGTCAAAGGGCATGTTTTTAGGAACATTTTAAAGTAGGAGAGCGTGTTGGATAGGATTAGGGAGGAAATTCCAGAGCATGGGGTCCAGACAGCTGTTAACAATGTGGTGGAGAGTGTGAATATGCCCAAAAGGCCATAGTCAAGAGAAGACCCTTTCAAAGGGTTTTAAAGCTGGAAGAAGTTAGAGGTTGAGAAATATCTTAACGTGGATGAGAACTTTAAAAGTGGTCCAGGGACTAGGTCACTGAGTACAGTGGTGATGGATGAATGGGACACGTAGCATGTTAGAATAGAATGTTGTATGCTACACACCCACCACAACTCCCAGGGTAACGGCTCAGCTGGTAAGGCAGTGAAAAGCTAAGGCACATAGACCAGCAAAGTCCCCAGTTTGACTATCAGTCATGGGTTTCCTGATCTTGGTCAGAGAAGTGGTCAGGGCCATGGTGCCTCTTTGTCAGGGGAGGAATAGACCAGCCCTCCAGTAAAATTCCTGCTGTTGATTACTAACTGTGAACACTGGCTTGTAAGACCTTCCTTATCCCATCCACACACTGGCAGCTGAAGAATGGACTCTTCGAACATGCATTAGAGCTGAGATGTAGCTCAGAGAGATTTGCTGACAAGGAGAGAGCATTTTAACTTTCATTTCTTAACAAATTTTGGCTCCCTTTCTCCCCCCAGCTCATTTTCACCACGTGATCGAGCTCCTGAAGTTCAGACAAGGAACAGTCACTGGGATCTTCCTCTCAGCAGGTACGAAGGCGGGAGGGAGAAGGGTTTGGATCAAACTTTTGGGTTAAGGTGGTGGAGGAGGGAGTGCGTACAGTGGAGAGGGGCACATGCTTCATCTGTCATGGGATGTGGCCAGCACTGACAAGGCCGACCCTTGTTGCCCATCTGTAAATGCCCTTGAACTGAATGGATTGCTAGCTCAGCTGAGGACAGTCAGGAGACAACCACATTGCCATGGGTCTGGAGTCACGTGTAGGCCAGACTGGGTGAGGATGGCAGATTTCCTTCATTAAAGGAAATCCGTGAACCAGATGGGTTTTTACAACAGTTGTGGTCACTGTTACTGAGATTAGCTTTCAATTCCAGATTTGTTAGTTGGATTTAAATTCCACCAGCTGTCATACTGGCATTTGAACCCACGTCCCCCGAGCATTAGCCTGGTCTGCAGTTAACGGTCCAGTGATTTTTACAACTGTGTCACCATCTCCAATATTGCTCGGTGCATGCGATGGGGTAGGCCCGCTATTTGGGGCAGTCTCGAATTTGATTGATGATGTAAAGTGGATGATATTGATTCAAGTGCCTGTTTTATATCTTTGCCATTGAAGTTTACTAATAATAACAGCTCAATGGATGAAATCACACTATAGAATCCCTACAATGTGGAAGCAGGCCATTTGGCCCATCAAGTCCACACTGCCCTTCTGAAGAGCACCCCACCCAGGCCCACCCCACTTATCCTACCCCTGTAACCCTGCATTTCCCATGGCTAACCCATCTAACCTACACATCCCTGGACACTGTGAGCAATTTAGCATGGCCCAATACACCCTAACCTGTACATCTTTGGACCATGTGAGGAAACCGGAGGACCCAGAGGAAACCCACACAGACACTGGGAGAAAGCACAAACTCCATACAGACAGTCGCCTGAGGGTGAATTCTAACACGGGCCTCTGGCGCAGTGCTAACCACTGAGCCACTGTGCTGCCTGTATATCTGTGATATTCCATTGGGATTTTTAATAGGTACTGGCCCGTTATTTTAATTGGATTAACAAGGTGGACATGGTCAGAATGTTTCCTGTTGTGAGTGCGTCCAGTGCAGGGGGATGCACGGTTTTAAAATTAGAGGTTACCCTTTGAGGATAAAGATGAGGACAGTTTTATACTCTGAGGGCTGTGCAGCCAAACTCTCTGCCATCTCCAAAGAAGCAAGGTCATTCAGTAGTTTTTCAGATAGTCGTCGATAGGTTCTTGTTAGGTAACAGAATCTAAGGTTATTGATGGGGAACGTAAGAATATGCAATTCAAAACACAAACAGATCAGCCATGATCCTCTTGAATGATGGAGCAGGCTTTCACGCTTGAATTGTCTACTTCATTTCTTATTTTGCATGTTCATATCGGATTGATTAAATTGCTAGAAAGATTTTATTTTCAATTCATTTTGGGATGTGGCCGTCACTGGCTGTGCCCAGCATTTATTGCCTGCCCCTACTTGCCCTAGAGAAGGTGGGGGTGAGCTGCCTTCTTGAACTGCTGCAGTCCACCTGCTGTGGGTTGACCCACAATGCCATCAGGGAGGGAATTCCAGCGTTTTGACCCAGCAACAGTGAAGGAAAGGCTGATTTATTTCTAAGTCAGGATGGTGAGTGGCTTGGAGGGAAGCTTGTAGGTGATGGTTTTCCTATACATCTGCTGCCCTTGTCCTTTGAAATAGAAGTGGTCATGGGTTTGGAAGGTGCTGTCTGAGGATCTTTGGTGAATTTCTGCAGTGCATCTTGTCGATGGTACACCCTGCTGCTACTGAGCATTGCTGGTGGAGAGAGTGGATGCTTGTGGATGTGGTACTAATCAAGCAGGCTGCTTTGTCCTGGATGTTGTCAAGGCTCTTGAGTGTTAATGGGACTTAAAGTGGATATATCCACTGGATTTGATCATTTCCATCCCAGAATATTGAAAAAATGTGGCTGCAGAGATAGTATAGCATTGGTGACCATCTTTCAAATTCTACATGCTATGAAAATGTTCTTGTAGATTGGAAGGTGGCAAATGTAATGCACTATTTAAGAAAGGAGGGAGGGCTACAGACCTGTTAACCGAAGATCCATCAGGGACAAAATGTTAGAATCTATAGTAAATGATGCAATAATAAGATAGTTTGATGCTCGGCAGATTTGCATTATGGATAGGGCAGTTACAAGAAAAATGGCGTTAATTATTGATTTTTTTTTTTGAATTAATGCAGATGTGTTTGTTTCTGTTTTCCCCTTCCTAGCTTTCCAGTTTTCTTACACTGCAGTCTTTGGAGCATATACTGCTTTTATTTTCATCAGAACAGGTCAGTGTATATTACCGTTAACACTTACCACACACCACTGCCACCTTCCTCCCTCTGCGCTTGTGTTTGAACCAAGCTCATCCAACTCCAACTCAATTCTTCCCAGAGACTGGGAACTGCAGAACTCCTCAGTTTCCTCCATTTCCTCTCCCTTCCATAATCTTCTCGCTGGCTGTTTCCTTAGTTTGTTTTCCATCAGCACATTTTAGTCCTCCATCGGATTAATGTGTGTGGGTTAGAAAGATAAGTTGATCAACAGGAATCAGTATGAGCTGCTTCTAACCGACAAATGCAGCACCTAAATAGTCAAACTCAGTAGATGGAGGTTGAGTTATAAGTTGGATAGCGTGAGAGAAAGCATCCAGTCAGGGTCTTGTTCCTTCACCATCTCCGTCGCAGGGAAAACAACTGCTTAACAGGTACAAAGAGTTGGCTAGTCACCTCTCTCCGACTGTCCAGTGACCGAAATTGATTAGGTTTTTGTGTTGCAGTTACCTTGATTTGCCTACGGCTGTGAATGGCCCTCTCAGTCAGCGTACCATTGTCCAGTGATTGTCTAATGGTTTATCTCCAATCAGTTGAGTAGCCAAGTGATTGTCTGAAGGTAGAGAGCATGGCCTACGCTCCTGTCCTACAAAACTTTTGTTCCTGGAGTGGCTTTAACAGATGAATTGTCTTAACTTTAATAGCTTTGCAATCCAGAAGGTACAGTAATGCAAACATGTAGCTATCTTTGATGGTGATCGCAGGTTATTTGAACGTGACTTCAGTCTTTTCTTTTAAAAAAAAAGCAAGTATTCCCAGCAAGTAATTTTTATTTTAGTATACAGCATGGTTTCACAACAGATGTGTGTCAACCTGAGGAGTACCTGCTTGGGTTCTACTAGGATGCCTGCATTTGGAGTATTTTGTTAGTATTTTCAAGGAGTCCCTGGGAAGTGTCAATAGCCGTAAGGCTGAATGGATTGCTTGAGAACGATCTGCTCAGTGCTTCGAAGGAACTTCTCTGAAGCTGAGGTTCCTTGGTGAACAGGTCACCTTTCAATTGTTGTGACACGCTCTTTATTTTCTAGGTCATCTGATTGGTCCAGTGTTGTGCCACTCATTTTGCAACTACATGGGATTCCCAGCAATTGGCGCTGCCCTCGACCACCCTCAGAAACTCACCATTTTTTTCTTCTATGTACTGGGAGTCATCCTCTTCCTGCTGCTGCTGTTTCCTATGACGGACCCCACCTTCTACGGTAGCCTTGCCATTTGCCACTTGACCAAGCCAGACACCAGCACTACAATCTGCACCTGACCCCATCTGCGGACTTGCCTGTTGCATCTTTCTTTATCTTTCTTTATTCTCTCACGCTGTCTAAAATTCAGGGAATTCTCCATCCAGGAGCTGGCAAGTGGACTGGGAAACATCTCAGGAATTTGGAAGTCTTGTTTGCGAATCTGGAATGGCATGGAGGGGGGAAGAACAGGAATACCAAAAGAACAGTACTTGAAATCGGGTGTTTCAGGAGTCTCCGTTCTCGGCTACACGGGGAAAGAACAGAAGAGTCCTCCATTTGGTGCATTTTAACCCCCAACCCCACCCCTCCCCATCTGATGCCTCATGAGACAAACTGACTACTCCCTTCCGTGC